TGAAGCTTTGTTTTATTTGTTGTGTGTAGTAGGTGTAACTAAAATTAACACAGTCAGAAATCGTTAACTTTTATAATACCTCTATGAAATGTGTGAACAACAAGTCTGTTGCATTTTTCGTAAGTTTACCTATTTTGTTGGGTTTACCCATATTTTACCCTCCTGTTGTAAAATTACCCCAAACCAAGGGAATTGTTCCACTGTTGGCAACACTACGCGGGTGGGAAGTGCGGCTGGCGGGGGGATTGACGTATTGTTTTTGGACACATTTGACGACATGTAATTATGAGGGAACGCGGGTTTTGGTTTGTTCTGTATTCTGAGCGTTAAACTTAGCCGAACGGGAATATTTAATTATCTGTCTCATTTAACAGCTGACAGCGTCAACATGACTGCTAGTGTCGTCGCTAACACCGATTAGACTAGAGATGTTCATTTAGTTGATTTTCATCGTTGAGCAGTTTTTATAAATAAAAAAAACTACGTTTAAAAAAACCGACTTCAAAAACAAAAAAGTGTCAAATAATTAAAATAGATATTTTAATAGCACTCTTACGTACGTGAAGCTAATACTTTTAATATTAATAATAAAACACTATCAACTCTATGTGCTACCTATTCATAGGTTTAAAGTCGGTGCCAAGCCTAATACATGATATTATAAGCATTTGATTGATGGCCTTAGCGTAGAATCAGAAGTATATATTGTTTCGTTACATGCGGAATTACATATAGCTTAGAAAGATATTCGGGTGAATTATGAATTCTAAAAGTTTTCTCGTACTAAACGTAACTCGTGGGTTGTTAAAAGTAGTAGTAAGTAGGTTCGTTGTTGGTTGTGGAAATTTCGTCCTTTAGCAGTTAAACAGTCTTAATTCTCATTTAGTTTTATTCTGTTTAGGGCTTGGCACCGACTTCAAACCTATGAATAGGTAACACATAGAATTGATAGTGTTTTATTATTAATAATAAAAGTATTAGCTTCGCGTACGTAAGAGTGCTATTAAAATATCTATTTTAATTATTTGACACTTTTTTGTTCTTGAAGTCGTTTTTTTTAAACGTAGTTTTTTTTTATTTTTTACTTTTTAGTGTCTGTTACAAGTTCTTCTGTAAACTACAGTAACATTTTAAATATAAATTAACATATTGAATAGTATATATATTTTTAAGTAGCTATGTGTAGGCCTGCGAAAGGAGCCGTTCTATTAAAAAATATAGATCCCAAGAAATGGGAAAGTTCTCATCATCATCATCATCATCATCATCAGCCTTTTTAATGTTCCCACTACTGGGTCACAAGCCACCTCTCTAGGAGTGGGAAAGTTCTTATCAATATAAACAAATTAAGTCCAAACACGAGGTCGCTACTGTAAACCGTTGAGGAGTTCCCTAGACTGTCCTTCATCTTCATTATCAGATCTCTAATGACAGTCACAATCCATCTAGATGTAAAGTTTTATCAAAACCAATTTATTAAGCTCAAACACAAGGAAGCTGCTATGAATCGTTGAGGAATTCCCTCGACTGTCAATGGTCTCCATCGTCAGGTACACTGCAGACCTTCAGTTGTTATAATCCATACAGGTACAAAGTTTTCATCACCACAAATGAATTAAGTTCAAACACGAAGTAGTTACTGTAAACCGTTCAGGAGTTCCCTGAGCTGTCCTTCGTTCTCATCATCAGACCCTTAATGATAGTTACGACCAAGTCTGGTGCAAAGTGCTCGCCAATACGAATCATTCAAGCCCAAACACAAGGCAACTGCTCCAAATAGTCAAGGAGATCCCTCGACTGTCTTCCAGCTCCAACATCTTGTCGACTTCGACCTTTGTCAAGTCGTAGTGTTGTTAAAGGCCTACTTAAACATCATACAAAAAAACTACTCGCCCCTACAATTTTCGAAAGTTCCCCTCGGTTTCTCCAGGATTCCATCATCAGGTCCTGACCTCATGACAATGAGACCAAATGGCAAGTATACCCTAACGAATAACAAAAAAAAAAAAAAAATTGCAAATCGGTCCAGGCGTCTTCGAGTAATCGGTGTACATACATAAAAAAAAAATACTCGTCGAATTGAGAACCTCCTCCTTTTTTTGAAGTCGGTTAAAAAAGTAATTAAGTGCTTGCAATACTTCAAGCTGTAGCTTCGTTTTGGTGATAAAACCGAAGTTAGACGTTATGCGGTATTAATACGATAAAGTGAAGATTTTTTTAGAAAAAGATTAAAAAGTCTGCAGTCGGCCCCTTTCAATAAATAGCCCCGGTGTTGCCTAACTCTGCTTCTTATTGCGGTTCACTGTGCTCCCTTGGATGTAGCTATTGAATTTAAAGCAATTTCTACATATACATAATAATATAAATATTAACATTTTGGAGTGAGACCACATCACTATTCTTCATGAAACGTACAATCGCAACGTCACATGACATTTTAAATGACTTACACCCGGTTTCTGAAAGGCTTGTTAACGGTAAAATAAACTAATCTCCTGTTAAATCTCTTGTCAAGTCATCTGATTGGTTGTTGATAATTCAGTCAATCCATCAGATGACGTGACAAAAGATTACATTGATTTTAACATTGATCGGCCTTTCGGAAACCGGGGGTACATCGTCCAAAGTTTTTTCCACTGCAGCTGCACCTATTTCTCTCATTAGTCGTATAATTAGTTTACCCGACAACCATTAACAGAAATTCATCCATCCTATTGCGTTATCATAACAAAACTTTGTTATTTTGAGTAATTATTATACAGACAAGCTTTTGCCCGCAACTCCATTCGCGTGGAATAGTGGACTCCTGCAGATTTTTGGTATAACAACTGTCCTATATCCTTTCTCGAGTTTCAAACTATGACTGTACCAAATTTCACAGAAATCGGTTCTGTAGTTTAGGCGTGAAGAAAAGACAGACAGACAGACAGAAAGGCCGACAAACAGAGTTACTTTTGAATTTATAATATTAGTATAGATATAGATATTCGTATAGATTAGATACTATAATTATGTTATTATGGTACCATTAAACAGCTCTGATGGAGTTGAAGGATGGCTGATGGAATTTACTGCTTGTTAAATGAATGCTAGTCAACACGATCTTCTAACGTTACGTTGATACAGTAGGATATAATTATATTCTTTGATGAATATTGAGAAAAGTATGAATACAAAACGAACATGGTGAAAACAAAGCGTGTAGGCACATATACCTTCAAGTACCACGTGAGTGTTACTTTTCTAAAGCATTTGATTCCCAACAAAAACTGTTGAAGGTTAACCCTCCGCTACCGTCGGAGAGCATTATCCGACATGCCGTTCTAAGTGTTAATCTTCATGTTATCACCTTTATATCTCTCGTTAGGGAGAATCTTCCGCATACTTAATTTTATCGAAATTACATTCTTTCCTCCAATTCTAGTTACCAAAATTAAACTACAGTGTAAATAATAAAGCGCGGTTATAAAAAAGACGCAATCCGTTTGGCTTTTTTTGTGGGTCAATGTTTTTTTTTAGTCTGATGACATGTAGGTAGAATAAAATAGTTAAAATATTATATCAATTATCATTCTTAGTTTATTACATCAATAAATAATGATTGCTTTTTTTGCTTAGTGGTGGATGTAATGCGCAGGCGCGACGTAGACGGGAGCGGCCTTGACGTGCACGGGAGCGGCAGTGGGAGCGGAGTTGTGCACCACGGCGTTGAAGCCACTGTGGTCGTCGGCGGAGTACTCCACAGTCCTGACGGAGCCGTCGGCTTCGTGGAAGGAGTAAGAGCCCTTCACGACATCACCGTCGCGGGACTCCTGGTGGGACTTATTGTCACCGGTGTGGCTGTCAGCCACGGAGTAGTTGTACTCGTATTTGGGGTGAGCCTGTTAAAAAAAAGTCAGAAAATAGTAAACATTTGTTTCAGATAGAAGCATTAAGTTAATATGAATTATTCATAAGACAATTATTACTTACGTCGAACTCTTCAGCGTGGGCCACGACGGGAGCGGCGTGGTAGGCGACTGGAGCGGGGGCAGCGTGGTAGGCGACAGCGGGAGCGGCGTGGTAGGCGACGGCAGGGGCGGCATGGTAGGCGACTGCTGGGGCAGCGACGGCTACGCGTTGGGCTGGCTGGTCATGACGAACAATGTTTTGGGAAGACACGGCAGCAGCTGAGGAGTAGTGGGCAGGGGCAGCGTGGTAGGCCACGGCAGCGGGGGCGGCGTGGTAGGCGACAGCTGGAGCAGCGTGGTAGGCGACGTGCTGGGCAGGCTGGTCGTGACGTACGATGTTCTGAGAGGAGACAGCGGCAGCAGAGGAGTAGTGCACGGGGGCGGGCAGGAGACCAGCCTGGCACACTGCCACTAATCCGCAAAGAGCTACGATCTGTAAATAGTTTTGTGTCAGATATGAACATGATTTTCGAATCACTTATATTTAATTTTAATTTGTGGCAATTCATAGTTTGACTTACTTTGGAGAACATATTGTTTCACTTGTGATCAAACAATGAGTGATATGTTTCAAATAAATTATCTAGTTTATATACTAGTCCGCACTAGTGCAAGTTCATGTAATTCGAGTTGTAGAACGAGCTTATGGTGACCTTACTAGGTCACACAGTTTTGCGACTCGGACCATTCACTGAGTGACAATATAATATTGGTAGAAATTTTAGCTGTTTGACTTGTCTCTTTATTGAAAGTAATAATGACTTACTCACGTGAATTTACTGAGAAAAGCACTACTAGTATCAAGTCACAACGGGACTCTTATTTTGAGCTTTTTTTAATAAATTCACGTAATTGATTATTAAAAATTTTAAATAAATTTAGTACCTCACGATAGTTACTATTTAAAAGAAAAAAATAAGTCTTTTTCGTATTTAGTAAGATTTATGTTCATTTTGTTTTTTTTTTAAATACCACTGATAAAAACATCAAGGCGTTCCATACGCCTGTGTGTAGCGCGCGGTCGTTGAGAGGGTTTGCGGAGCGTGTACAATGTACAGGCGCGGCCGCACGGTTAGACACGGCTGCGCGCGCAACGCGCCAGCGCCGGCCGCCGCCGGTCATGTAGGTACGCAACGCTGACGAGTCGCGCCGACGCCGCAGTGCGCACTGCGCAGCACAAGTAATAATATACGTCTGTCGCGGCTCTCGCTCGCTCCCAGTTTTCGTGTTGTGTTTAGTGTTATTAATCTTATATTCACCAAACTTTATTCTATTTGCCTTTACTATAATATACAGACTTTCGTAACAATATCGTTTCCTTCCATCTCTGATCCATCGAAAACCTACGCAACATACATACCTAAACCTGAGAATAGTGACTCTAGTGCCTATTACATGTGTTAAAATTTTCTGTTCGTTTTAAGTGTCTTTTTTAAATTTGGACAGATGTTTTTATTTTCTGTTGCCATTGTAACAAACAACAACTTAATATTTTAGGCAGCCCTTCCTTACAACAGACGCGAATTTTGTACGAAACCATATTTGGCTGTTTTTTAAGTATTGTGTTAGACTACGGATTGTAAGCTTAGTCTTTAGAAAATGAATTATGATTTCGAAATCTTTGGGAGAATCATGGAATACAGTTACAAAAAGCTCCTGGTAAAGCTAGCAATAAAGGGGTTGTATATTGATATTACATAAAACATAATATGTCGCCTGTCATTTTGTGTTATGATTAAAATGAAACTAATAAGCAAATCTGTTTTTGCATCGAGAGGCCGAAAATGAACAAAAGAAAGCAATAATTAGATTAAAGAACTATTAAAATTTAGAACTGTACGACACCAGTTACTTACAAAATTGTGACCTGACACGATGTTTTTTTAGTTAATTATTTTCCTAATATTTGGTACTCTCCCATTATTCTTATTTACTTTACTCTGGTACTGGTTATAAGTCGTCTAGTTAGTTTACCTGGGACACATTATAAGAAATTATCTTAATTCTTACTGTAGTGTCATTATGAAACATGGCAATTGTGAGAATATTATGTAGATGAGTAGTGGCCCGGTATAGCGCCCGCTTCTCATGCATGGGGGTGCGGGTACAAAGCCGGGCAACTTCCAAGTTATATGTACTTTCTGTGATTATTAAGATACCATTGACATACGGTGTAGGAAAACAACGTGACGAAACCTGTACTTATAACTTCCAATTATAAGTTTGAAATCGCCAATCCGCCTTGATAAAGCGTGGTGATCCATGCTATACCTTTTTCTTTGAAAAGAGGCCTTTGCTCAGCAGTGGGAACTTATAGGCTGAAGATGTGATGTAGATTGGATGCAAAATATTATGATTCCATCGAACTGCTTTGGTTACAGAATTGCAGGGTGGTTGTTGGAATTTACTGAAACTAAACGTTGACAGAGTAGCATATCACAATCGCGACTACTGTCTTCTTAAGGGTCACGGATTCATTCTGTCTCTTTCTATTATTTGAATAATATTTGGAAAGCGTGAACACAGGATATATAAATATATACCTAAAGTAGGACAACAATAACTGGTGACAACAAAACGTGTAGGCATATACACAAGTACCACGTGAGTGTTAAGTTTCTCATTCTGGATCAAAAGAATGAATATTGATAGGTATTTTATTATTACTTTGCTCTGTTTTGTGTATATTATTATTAAATCAGCGCGTTACCTCAAGGTAGGACTTTTCTTATGAAATTATGAAAAGTCCTACCTTGTAAGTGGTAGACATATTTAAAAGTAATTTTCATTCATTCATAAGTGCGGATATAAAATAGACGTGAACTTTCTTATCTGTTTTTCGAGGGCGATAAATTGTTTTTTTTTTTTTGGTACTTGAATAAACTTTATTTTTCGGTAGGTAGGTATGAATAGAATAAAACAGTAAAAATATGTCAAATATCACTCTTAGTTTAATACATCAATAAATAATTATTGTTTTTTTTTGCTTAGTGGTGGATGTAATGCGCAGGCGCGACGTAGACGGGAGCGGCCTTGACGTGCACGGGAGCGGCAGTGGGAGCGGAGTTGTGTACCACGGCGTTGAAGCCACTGTGGTCGTCGGCGGAGTACTCCACAGTCCTGACGGAGCCGTCGGCTTCGTGGAAGGAGTAAGAGCCCTTCACGACATCACCGTCGCGGGACTCCTGCTGGGACTTGTTGTCACCGGTGTGGCCGTCAGCTACGGAGTAGTTGTACTCGTATTTGGGGTGGGCCTGTGGTAGAAAACAGAAAGATTAAATGATTGCCAATATATAATTAAATAACAATTTCTCATTATTATAGTCATAAATACTTACGTCGAACTCTTCAGCGTGAGCTACGACGGGAGCGGCGTGGTAGGCAACTGGGGCGGGGGCAGCGTGGTAGGCGACAGCGGGGGCAGCGTGGTAGGCGACAGCGGGAGCGGCGTGGTAGGCGACGGCAGGGGCGGCATGGTAGGCGACTGCTGGGGCAGCGACGGCTACGCGTTGGGCTGGCTGGTCATGACGGACAATGTTTTGGGAAGACACGGCAGCAGCTGAGGAGTAGTGGGCAGGAGCGGCGTGGTAGGCCACGGCAGCGGGGGCGGCGTGGTAGGCGACAGCTGGAGCGGCGTGGTAGGCGACGTGCTGGGCAGACTGGTCGTGACGCACGATGTTCTGGGAGGAGACAGCGGCAGCAGAGGAGTAGTGCACGGGGGCGGGCAGGAGACCAGCCTGGCACACCGCCACTAATCCGCAAAGAGCTACGATCTGGAAATAATTTTGTGTTAGTACTAGTTGGATTTTCGAAACACTAATATTAAATTTGCGGCAATTCATAGTTTGACTTACTTTGGAGAACATATTGTTTCACTTGTGATCAAACAATGAGTGATATGTTTCAAATAAATTATCTAGTTTATATACTAGTCCGCACTAGTGCAAGTTCATGTAATTCGAGTTGTAGAACGAGATTATGGTGACCTTACTAGGTCACACAGTTTTGCGACTTGAACCATTCACTAATTGCCAATCTATTATCGATAGACATTTTGATCATTATTATATTATTAAAATTTTGTTTATTATTTGTGTTTATAATGTAAACAAACTGTAGAAATAATGATATAAATGAATGATGAAATATGATCTAAGTGTGGGAGAGCCATGCTTCGGCACTAATGGGTCGGCTCGACCGGAGTGATACCACGGCCTCACAGAAAACCGGCGTGAAATAACCACTGCGTTATGTTTTGCCGTGTGAGTGAGGTTACCGGAGGCCCAATCCTTCCCCTTCCCCAATCCCTCCTCAATCCCTAATCCCTAAAAGGTCGGCAACGCACTCGTAACTCCTCCGTTGCGAGTGTCCATGGGCGGCGCTGATTGCTTACCATCAGGTAATCCGTCTGCTCGTTTGCCGACCTATTACATAAAAAAAAAAATGAGTAATAAAGAGTTTTACGTCAAAAAAGACTTAGTTTTCGAGTATTTTAATATTGTCGCACAAAACTCATCGTTCAATGTTATCTGGCTCAAAACTGATTAGTACAGGGTGTAAAAAGACACTTAACGAAGCCGAAAGCCATTTAAGACCATAGCTGGGACTCCACGGGTTCTCGAGATATTGAAGGTCAAAGACGCATTTTTAATTTTTATTTTTTTTATTTTTTTGCGCAATGTGTGTTCAATATTATCTGGCTCAACATTGATTTGTATTTTATATGGACGTACCTACATATTATTATATGGACGAAATTTAGTAACCATGGTTACATAAATGATTAACACCTTCTTTAGCTCTTTAGATAATAATATATATTATAAAGTAGACGTGCACTTGGACCGGCCCAATGTGGCTTCTTTTACATGATTCTCGACACCCACGTTCCACAACCCAACAATGATTGACGCTTTGGATAACATCCAAAAGACCTTTTTGATACCAATAACTACGCCTAGGGTCATTCACAATGTCTGAAAGTTATAAATCTTTAGGTTAGAAATGCTTTTTTATTTGTGTATTTTTATCTCATCGGTTGAGTAAATGAAATTACCAATAAGGTGTAAATTCCGTTGTTGTGGCAAAAATTATATGGAACTAATAAAGAGGTAATACTAGCAAAGAGAAGTAGTTTTTATAAAATATTATTTTAATTTTCTATAGCAGAACCTGTGTCTTATACAAGAATTTTCTTCTGTGTCGAGTTCGACATTTTGACGATCGACAATTTGTTGATCACAAAATAGTCGTTCCGTGCGGAAATTGAACCTTCAAAACGTTGCACATCTGGGATTGCTACCACGTCAACCGTGCATAGTTATTGAATATCATGGCGTTTTAGAATTAATTTATTTATTTGTATAAATATAAAACAACACTTTTATACGTAAAAAACTAGATGAAGCCTCGTATAGTTTTAAAAGTTTCTAATATTATTGTGTTGATAAAAATGAAGTTATATTCTCTTATTAAATGTTCTTGTTATAAAAAATTGTTTCCCTCCATAGAATTTACTTCAGTGTCGAGTTCAACAGTTAGACCACCGACATTTTGCGAATCGGATAGAGTCGTTCCGTGCGGGAGTCCAACCTGAAAAACGTTGCACAGCTGAAATTGCCACCGCATCCCTGGTGTTTAAAAATATATTTCATAATATTTTTATGAGCTCAGAATAAACAAAAAAAATTGTGGTTTTGAAAAAAAAAAATTATGTACATATTCAATTTCAACGCTACCTTTCTTACCTTACGTATACAGTAAATTATCCCACGATACTTACAAAAATTTAATCAAATCATCCAAAAAATGTATGTAAAAGTAAAGTAAAAGTAAAAAGTAAGTACTCATTTTAAAATTTGATCTTAGGTACATATAAAATCTCTGCAAAACACTACGCTTCCAAAGCTAAGCCTCAAATTACAGCGCGAAATTGGTTTATGTCTGCATTTATCCTTTACATATAATTATGTTTATATCGTTGTTTATGTTTCAAATTCCATTGCATCTATGTAACTTCTGTGTGCACGTGGCGCATAATTATTTAAAGTTATTGTCGGTTTTCATAATGTTTAACATATGACGATGATATATACAGGACATAGGTCATATTATAGTTCTCCTATTAACTGTCATAAGAAGATTCGGAAAAATATAAACGAAGATGAAAATTCTTGTAAAATAATTTTATTCCTAAAATATTATTTGGATTATTTTTGGTTTAGTGGTGGATGTAGTGCGCAGGCGCGACGTACACGGGAGCGGCCTTGACGTGCACGGGAGCGGCAGTGGGAGCGGAGTTGTGTACCACGGCGTTGAAGCCACTGTGGTCGTCGGCGGAGTACTCCACAGTCCTGACGGAGCCGTCGGCTTCGTGGAAGGAGTAAGAGCCCTTCACGACATCACCGTCGCGGGACTCCTGCTGGGACTTGTTGTCACCGGTGTGGCCGTCAGCTACGGAGTAGTTGTACTCGTATTTGGGGTGGGCCTTTGAGAAAGGAGGATCAAAGTTAGTGTCTAATACTAGTAGATTCTTACTAGCAGGTTCGGTATAGCCGTGAACCCTAATAAATGCCAGGCCTCAATAATAGGTAGTTCTCGAAATTTGAGATTGGTTGATGGTACAAACCTACATCCTCTCTTATATAATGACGTGACTATCCCATTCAGTCAAGAAGTAAAGGACCTTGGGCTGCTTATTGATAGCACATTGAGCTGGAGACCCCAAGTCACCAGTGTTTGCCGGAAGGTGACCGGCTCGTTGAGGGTTATGTATCGCCTGAGGAACTTTCTTCCGTCATCCGCGAAGACGCAGCTGGTGCAGGCCTTGATTTTCCCCATTATTGATTACGCTGATGTCTGTTACTATGACCTGAATGCAGATCTGCTCAATAAACTTGACCGACTTCTAAATAACTGCATTCGATTCATTTTCAATCTTCGCAAATATGATCATGTTTCTGCACGTAGGATGCAACTTAAGTGGCTGCCAATACGTTTGCGCAGACAACAGAGGGCACTCACAACTTTATTCTCTTACCTTGATTCTTCTTCTTCGCCTAGCTACCTCGCCCCTTATTTTCAATATACTTGCGCAAACCATTCCAAATTTCTTCGGTCTTCCCACAATCGACACCTTCAGTGTCTCACCCATCGCACTGACTTCTTCCATTCTTCTTTCTTCATTCAAGCTGTTCTTCTATGGAATGCACTTCCGAAGGAAATCAGAATGGCAACAAATCGCTACTCGTTCAAGTTAAAAGTCCACGAGCATTTATTTAAGGATTGGCAGACACAAAACAATTGTGGTAACTAGTCTCGACATGGTTTTTCCCATCTAGATAATATTATGTATGTATGTATATATGTATATATATATATATATATATATATCTGTATATTATAGTATGTATGTTTCAATATATCCATACTTAACATGTATTATTTATTGTATTCGTTAACTTATTTTATGCATATCTATTTATTTATGTGTAAAGAATCGTGTTTGTTTCTTCCTTTTTCTTTCCCCTTTCATCCTGTTCTAGGACTCTGTGTCCTTGCTTCGCACCAACCGCAAGAATTCTCTGCACTGCCCTATGGTTGACTGTTAGAGAATGCCTTAAGGCATTAAGTCCGCCATTCACACTGTTTTGTATGAAGAAGAAATAAATAAATAAATAAATAAATAAATTCTTAACAGTAAGTGTATTGTACTGTTACTAACATCGAACTCTTCAGCATGAGCTACAACGGAAGCAGCGTGGTAGGCGACAGCTGGCGCTGCGTGGTAGGCGACGTGCTGGGCAGACTGGTCGTGGCGCACGATGTTCTGGGAGGAGACAGCGGCAGCAGAGGAGTAGTGCACGGGGGCGGACAGGAGACCAGCCTGGCATACCGTCACCAATCCGCAAAGAGCTATGATCTGAAAAATTAATATTTATTTAATAATGGTATTTTTATGAAGTATAAAAAAACTTAAAACCATTTAACATTTGAAACGTTTTTTTTTATTTAAATACTTACTTTGGAAAACATTTTGATAGTTCTAGTTCAGTAAGCAAATGCTTAATGATATGTTTGTTATATTGCTATTAGTTTTTATACTGGTTGACAATTAGGAAAGTGTAGGCAGCAAAGCTTGTTAGACTAGGTTTTTGCAACCTCGCTTTTGGTCTCATAGCTTTATGACCCCCATTCACCAAAAAGTTTCAAAAGCTCGAAAGGCTCTCATAGGTACTTGCAAAATAGCAAGTATTTTGCATTTAATTTTTGTTATTTTATATTAAAATACCGGAGGCCCAATCCTTCCCCTCCCCCAATCTCTCCTCAATCCCTAAATCTCTAAATCCCTAATCCCTAAAAGGTCGGCAACGCACTTGTTACTTCTCCGTTGCGAGTGTTCATGGGCGGCGCTGATTGCTTACCATCAGGTTATCCGTCTGCTCGTTTGCCGACAGATTAGATAAAAAATTGAAAATTATTTAGGTATATTAAAAAGATGCGTACCTTAAAGCATAGACAGTTGGCATCCGGCTTTTATAATACTAAAAGTTCTTGCCGTACCGTCGTTGTACTTATACGAAATATACCTATAGAATACCCTTATATCCTTCTAATACTATAGATTTAGAAGTTTGTGAGAATGTATTGATGTATGTTTATTATTCTTTCACGCAAAAACTACTGAACCTATTTGATTGAAATTTGTGTGTAGATAGGCTAAAAAACTTAATACATAGGCTGCTTTTTATCACAAGTACACTGCTTGATAAATAAAAGAAATACATTAAATATTAAAAAAGAAAGTAAAAGTTGAAAAAAAATTCCACCAGGTCTTTAATAACAAGATCGCCAATCACTATGTTAATCATTAGGTAAAAGGTAGTTATAAACAGTACTACCTACCATTATTACAAATACGTGTAGATACGTTTACTTATTCTAAGACGAGTTAACTCATTTTATTAATTACTGTATTTGTGAAATAATTGTCCTTAAAATGAAGCGGCCCAAATACTCATGCTACAAAACTTGCATTGCAATATATTTATAATATACTAGCTGACCCGGTTAAATTCGTACCACCTCAAATATTATGTACCTAACTATATGTTCAGACCTTTTAAAATTTTCCCTAGACTTTAACTTCTATTTTAAGATCTCGAATTTTAGCGAGACCGAGAGCCGTTCGTTACGGCAATTATATGTAAGAATATATGTATTAAGAGTAGGGTATTTTTTTTTTAGGAGAGACAATCTTTAAATGACTTCTGTCGCCCACGGTGAGGCGAGAAATTCTTTTGATGATTTAGATCGAGTTATGATTTTGATTAAGATTTAGTTATGATTTAGATTTAGCTGATTTACACTGAGTAGCATATATGAGATGGAACATTAATCTGCTCAATACTTTAAGCTCAATTCTGATTATACTATGACCCAATGGATACCCATTAGACGTTACTTATTGTACAGCTTTTCTCAGTTCTTTCACATGAGTAGGTCGTTATTTTCAATGATTTATTCACGATAGCTCAAAAAGTCAGAGGGCCTACCATGACGTGTTAAACCGTCAATCTTCTGGTCGAGAAAGAGGGATGGAGCTATAAAAGGTGTATAGGAAGAATAAAGTTGTAAGTATATAAAAGGTGTATAGGCCCGGAAGATTCACGCTGTAACACGATGTCGACGTCGACCTGAAACGTCTACAACAAGACGTATGGAATGCCTCTTAAAGATTGTGATCGAGAGGACAAAGGAGTAAAATTTTATGATAGGTCCCCTCATTTGTTCTTTTTTTAACAACTTGTCTCTGCATTGTTCTCACATAAGGGTACAATAATGTATACTATAAATGTTATATTATTGAAATTGTAAAACATTTTTTTTTAAAAAGAGTAACGAGTGGAGTTTCTTGCTCGTTCTTCTCCATTCGAATCTACAATTTGGAATGAGCACCTAGCTTCACTGACGAACAGACTGACAGACTACTTCTCTATTTTGACGTTTCAAAAGTACCTATTTATGGTTTAGTTGGAATAAATGATTTTGACTTTGACTTGACTTTGACAGACATAACATGATTTTTGCACTGTATTTTGGAATTTTTGGCTATATGGAGTCGTGCCTCATCTAAGAGTCGAGAGAGTGTCAGAACCCTTCTACTGCAATTATATTAAAATATTTATGCTAATCCATTTAGCACTTAGTTTTACCGGTGCAACTCACTGCTTTCATTGACTAATCGAGTCACGTTTGTCGCTAAACAAATTGTGTTTTAGTAGTCTTTTTATTATTTGTCAAACAACGAGACTAACCTATATTTCAGACACACACAAGCACACATTTTGTAACGTCTTAAACTGGTATTTTCTTAATTATTTGAAACACCTTCGCATTAATCATGTATATAATTTATGAAGTAGATTTATCAATTGCATCAAACTATTCCAAGAGTTTTTTTGATGCCCTAAATAGTAGGTAAAAAGTTGTAGGTACTGTGACAGATAATAATACAAAAGATATTATTGAATCGTACTGGTTTTGTATTGCGTTCATAAATAATAACAACTTTACTTAATCATAAGTTTTTGGTACATTAGTGATGGTAGTACTTAAGGGCAGGGGCAGCCTTTACAAGCACGGGAGCAGCTTTGATGTGGACTGGCGCGGCAGTGGGCGCGGTGTTGTGCACAACTGCGTTGAAACCGTTGTGGTCATCAGCAGTGTATTCTACAGTTCTGATGGAGCCACCAGCTTCGTGGAAAGAGTAAGAGCCCTTTACAACATCGCCATCACGAGACTCCTGCTGGGATTTGTTGTCGCCAGTGTGGCCATCAGCAACCGAGTATGTGTACTCATACTTGGGGTAGGCGACCTCTTCTTGTTGAGCGACAAGCTTGGCAACGGGAGCAGCGTGGTAGGCGACGGGGGCTGGGGCAGCATGGTAGGCGACGGGGGCTGGGGCAGCGTGGTAGGCGACGGGGGCTGGGGCAGCGTGGTAGGCGACAGCGGCGGGAGCTGCTTGGTAGGAAACGTGAGCAGGTGCGGCGTGCTGGGCAGGCTGGTCGTGACGCACGATGTTCTGGGAGGAAACAGCCGCAGCAGAGGAGTAGTGCGCAGGAGCGGCGTGGTAGGCTACCGGAGCAGCGACAGCGAGTTTGGCAACAGGAGCGGCGACGGCGAGCTTGGCTACGGGAGCGGCGAATGCGAATTTCGCCACAGGGGCAGCGGGGGCCTGGTCGTGACGGACGATGCTCTGGGAAGAAACTGCTTCAGCAGGAGAATAGTGAGCGGGCGCAGCTAAGAGACCGGCCTGGGCTGCAGCCACAAAAGCACAAAGAGCTACCACCTGAAATAAAAAAAATCGGTTACAAACATTGAATCACAATAAATAATGCTATCAAATTACACATGTGGATTAGTTTTAAACTTACTTTGGTGAACATGTTGTTTTCTTTTGTGATCAAAAGGTGAAATGATAATCCACATATCTATGCTTAGCTATTTATAATAGAGAATATTGCGTATTACCAAATTCTAGTGTAAGTAGTGGAAGTTGTCAAACTGGCTGTCAAAGGCTGTTCGCGACCTTGCTTCAGGTTATATGGCGCACTAATCAATCCGCTCACTGAGGGCACATCGCCGATTGCGAGAAATTTCACAAGTCATTTTATTATTTATGACATGTTAATATTTTGAGGCCTAATCTGATAAATACTTTCGCTAGTACCTATATGTAATAGAGATAATCTTCCACTAACTACATTTCAGTGATAACCTACTGCTACTCGGTAGATACTATGGTAGCTATGTGTTACGTTAATAATAACATTTTAAAACGTAATTTTCATAAGAGTTAGTAAATTAATATTGAGTATCTGAAATTTTTACAATGTTTAATTTATTATCCAATGAATTCAAGCATGTATGTATGTATGTATGTTTGTAAAGTGGAATCTTGCAACGAAACTTTTAAGCAGATCTTGTAGCCCCATTTAGTTTGTACCTATTACCATAAATGCTACGATGTATGACTGTACCCCAAATCTATAAAACTGCATATATTATTAAATGTTTAGTTTCGCAAGTTACTGAATCTGATAAAATAATGTATAAAACATGTTTATAACAATAAGTTATGTATGTATATAAGTTAGGTGGCAAGCTATTTATGGTTCGAAACTACCTATTTATGGTTTTGTTGGAATAAATGGGTTTGACTTTGACTTCGACCTTGACTACATATAAACTACTGAACTGATTTCAATTAATCATTATCATTCACATAATTATATCAATTTCTAAAAACTTAATTACGAACATTTGGTAAAATGCAAACGAGTGCTAAGCTTCATTATAATCAATACCGGTTCAGGAGATTCAATTTTGTATAAACCTCGGGCTGCCTAAACTCCCTTTTAATAAATCTTTTTGGTGAACTTAAGTCTAAAAGAAATTCTTATAATATTCCTTCTATAGGTAATAATGCATGCAGAGACCGCGACAAGAGGTTTTTTGATGTGACATCTAAATTTTTAAATAAGTTGTCCGTGGACATTTAAAATAAATACTGGAAAACTGCCACCATTTAAAAATAATCTACGAAAATCTTGAAGGCGTATGAGATGTTAAAATTTATCTAGGCTTTTCTAGGAGGCAAAAAACAAGACGGGTCAGTTGACGCCAATTAGCTTAGCTTAGCTTAGCTGATTAGCAGAAAACTGGCGTGAAACAACCACAGCGTTGTGCTTCGCCGTGTGAGGTTACTGGAGTCCAATAATAATTGTCCCGTTTTGATGATACAGCCGACATATTATTATTATTATGTATTCATATTCATATTGTTTATTGCATTGTATTGTATTGTTAATATAACTACCTACCATCACGCATAACTCATTTTATAATGCGAATAAGAAAATGATTCAAATCTATCTAGTCCACTATTAAAACAAAATAATATCAAATTGGGTAGTTTCCTATGTCAAAAATAAATTAATTCAACGTTTCAATACAATAAAATATTTAAAAATAACTATACTTTTATTCATCCATCGATGGATACACTAAGTTTTGGACATTTTGTAGCTAATGATTAAGAAATAAGTAAGCTATTTGACCCAAAAGTTCTATGACGTTATAACTCAGTTTTTATATCAATTTCATAGAAAAGTATCGTGTTTGACATTTGGATAAAAGTATTGAATTTGACTAGTTGGAAACTACTAGCGCTACTAGTGTTAGCAACAAAATTAAAGCTTTATTATTAAAAGATCGGCGTCGCTAGCGCTGGTTTCCTTTGTCTAATGTGTCAGTTTGTTTTGGCGACCGTGATGGTACCTGACAGGTTCGCATTGCCCTAGATCCAGCCATAGGGTACGATAAATTCATTTACTTTGATTTAAATCTGGTTAACAGATTGACATTATATCGATTGGCAGATTTTTTGGTAAGCAAGAAATCTAAGTACATACATGTATTGAAGTTCATAATATTTGTAAAAAATTTTTTTGTGCCGTACGCTCGGGCCGTACGCTCGGGCCTGGTTCTGGTAGGGCGGCGAGCTGCTCTTACTCGCCGACCGCTTAAGGTGGCCGGAGATCGTCCCTCGAAATATTTCTTAACATGCTGGGTTGAAAAAGTCATTGAAATGTGGAAATGTCACCTCACATCAACATGAAAATTATTCCAACTAATACCTATAATTTATTATATAGGTACTGTGTGAGACGATGAAAAGTATGTGCACTGTAAATGTGCATCTTGCTTATTTTTGCTGCGAATTAGAGGTATGATAGGTATTAAAAATACGAGTATGAAATAACAGAGAATATTTCCTGATCTTATTCGTATATTGCAATAAATATAATTAACAGTCAACATTAAATTGTAAATAGAGGTAATGTTTTAGTGGTGAATGTAGTGAGCAGGCGCGACGTAGACGGGAGCGGCCTTGACGTGCACGGGAGCGGCAGTGGGAGCGGAGTTGTGTACCACGGCGTTGAAGCCACTGTGGTCGTCGGCGGAGTACTCCACAGTCCTGACGGAGCCGTCGGCTTCGTGGAAGGAGTAAGAGCCCTTCACGACATCGCCGTCGCGGGACTCCTGCTGGGACTTGTTGTCACCGGTGTGGCTGTCAGCTACGGAGTAGTTGTACTCGTATTTGGGGTGAGCCTGAGATAATTAATGATTAAAATGAGAGCACGTTACTGATTGAAAATGAAAAACAAATTGCTATTAATATTGCTATGAATACTTACATCAAATTCTTCAGCGTGAGCAACAGGAGCAGCATGGTAGGCCACAGCAGGAGCGGCGTGATAGGCCACGGCAGCGGGCGCAGCGTGGTAGGCGACAGCTGGAGCTGCGTGGTAGGCGACGTGCTGGGCAGGCTGGTCGTGACGCACGATGTTCTGGGAGGAGACAGCGGCAGCAGAGGAGTAGTGCACGGGGGCAGGCAGGAGACCAGCCTGGCACACCGCCACTAATCCGCAAAGAGCTACGATCTAAATCATTGTTTGTTTAGTTGAAATGCTTCATAGAGACCAAGACAAAACATTATAATTGATTTTATAATGGATTTGTTTTAATAAATAGATTCTAGTTTAGAATAGACTTACTTTGGAGAACATGTTGAGTAGTTTACTGTGTTCAATCAGTGACTGATACCTAGGATTAAATGTTCTATAGTTTTATACTTACGGAATTTAGTACAGCGCCTAACGACACCAATTAATTGACCTTGCTCATGTCATGTCAAGTGTTTAAATAACGTTGATATAAAACATTCACCTGAATACTTTCATTCAAGAAATTTTACATGTATAATAAGTAGGAGTAAAAAAAAGATAGATTGAATTTCAAATGCATTGTCATACATATAAAATAAAAAAAAAACGACAGATCATTTCGCATTTATTCATCAATTGAAGAAAACTTATTATAAAAACTGAAATTTAACTTAATTAATTTTGTGGTACCTACTTAATTATAACATAGATATTTTCGATAAATCGCGAAATATGTACACTTTCGAGTGGTTGTAAAGCAAAAATACTATTACGTATTAAATTTTATTTTATATCCGTGTAATGTAATGTATATACTATTTTTTATTTAATTTTTACATTCAGATTATGTTACGATTTTTCTTTTATTGTTTTAACAAGTATATGAAAGTTATAGTTTGTAGATATAAATATAAGATATTGTTGTTGATTTTCTATTGTCTTTTAGTAGATCACCGTTGTTTAGAATCTACGTCAACACAGGTATTGTTTGCAATCATGTTTTCATATTTATTTCAGTCTTCCTATTGTTTATTAGACTAAAATGAAAATAAAATGGATTACAAATATGGCTCACCTTACAATCGTGGCAATTTGAGACACAATTGAAGAACAATAGATAAATCCCACGCGAATGCGTTCGCTTGGGATTTGATGAATTAATCGGAATAATTACAGTGATTTTATAAAAACCTATCAAAATAAACATGCTGTTTATAATTTATGATCAAAGCACAGTACATTTAAAAACACCAAATTATAAATAGGTACTAATATAGCGCTTTATTCATAACTTTACTAGTAGTTGAAATCAAACATCCCATCCATAAATTTAAATTTATAGATGTTCGTTATTTTCGTTAAAAATCTAAAACTGCTGGCTTAAATATGGAAGTTCCGGAAAAATGCCACAACATACGTATATTTTTTTAATACTTTACACTAACTTTATGAGTGACATAAGATATTTGAAAAGCAACAAAATTCTTATTTTATCTACAGTTACTATTGAGGCGGAGTTCGCCACATCAACAAATCTATAATATTAATTAAAATGAATGTATGAATGTGTTACTAAGCATGGCTGCTCGAACAGCTAGGCCAATTTTACATAAAATCACGTGCCAAAATTGAACCCCGTACAATTTTAAAGCATGCTTATCTATCGCTCTTCTTTAAATAATATGGACATAAAACAACTGAATATTCAATTCTAATTTATATTCTAACATGTATATACAAATATTGACAAATAACTATTTGTTTGTTCATCAGACACAAACGAATACCAATGGCAGTATTTGATATTAAATCTTCAAAACAATGTATCATCAATATCGTCATTGTTACCGAGTGATGTAGAAAACTAAAGCTATGTATGCATGAAATGCTAAACTTGTCGTGAATGTAGAATATCGTATAGAATTATGTTGTTTAAAAAAATAATCTGGGTTAAAGGAAAAAGGATTACAATGGAGACAGCTCAAGTAAGTACTTTGAATAGGACATTAATTGATAGGAAGTTGTTAATTCTACACTAGGAAAATCTTTCAGTTATCCAAACACATCTTGTACAGTGACTAGTAAGTAGAATCAAATGGTTCTATTGTGCACGTGAGAATATCTCGGATGGCACATCGCTAGACGTACCAACTACCATTTAAAATTTACCTAATTTAATTAACATTTTAAGATGTCTATTATTATGAGTATTTATGGCAATTGGAAATGGTAATCTTGCGGTTTTGCCTGCTCTTGATATATGTATCTTGTTTTTTTTGGCAAGGCTTGGTAGGCGGGTGGTACATAACCTTGAGGATGAACTGGTGACCTTTCGTATTTTGAGGAGTAAGTGTCGGGGTATAGTGGTGCCATCGGTGGCATCTGTCCTGGACTGTATACCCTCGCAATGTTCAGGTGCAACCTATGAAGCTTGGCGTACGGTGAGAACTGACGTTTTATCTTATTAATTCCAGGCCCCACTTCCATGCTGTTAGGAGAAGAAATAAACTTTATAAAAATGTATTACTCTGGGTTAAGGATTTTTTAGTAAGGAATATTAGTAAAATGATCTTCAACTGGACAAAGGAATTACCCCAGGAAAAGTTTTTGTCTGGCATTACATATTTTTATTGTCACGAATGGTTTCATCTCTGATCGAATGAACAAGGGTGTTGTAAATAATATTGTCTGTGGATTAATACGAACAGCTAACGCTAGTTTCATAAAACATTACAAACACTAACTATTGTAATTCTTTTAACTCTTTTAACTCTTTTTTTTGTAATTCTTTTAACTCTTTTTTTTAGATTTTCGATGGTTTTGATGATGTTGGATATCTTTTTTGTTAGAACTAAAATAGATTAAATAACAATACTGACTTATATTATTCGTATTAAGTTGTTTTTGATTATTTGATCGAAAACTACTTTAGGTCAACAGCTGTAAGTATGACGCTGTTGCTGTCTAATATAATGTAATCAATCTTTGAAATCACGCGTTAGGGACTAAATCTTGAGTTTATATTCATACTTTGCTTTAATATTTTGCAAATGATTATAATAAATATTGATAGTTCTCTCGGCGTTTTTCCGTAGAAAATAAAATATTTAAAATTCAATATCTATAACAGATAATTATGGACTTGAATTCCTGTTAGGTAGAACATAACTTTACTACATAACTTAAATAAAGTCCTTTGTTCAGAAAAGTATACGATGCAATTTGATTTGGTTTGATTTGAAAATACCAACACGACCTAGGCATTACGCTTAGGCGCGTTAATCATTATATTGAATACTAGCTAATCTTTCGCGGTTTCACCCGCTGCTCAGCTTCATTTGATCGTAACGTGGTGTTTTATAGCCTATAGCACTCAGGAAGCTATCTATCAGTGAAAGAATTTAGACAATCGGACCAGCGCGCAGCGGTTCCAAAGATGACCTCCTACATACAAACTTACAAATTTTATCTCTTTATAATATTAGTATAGAAAATGCTCTCTTTTATATTTTATCTCAGAAGAGGTCTTGTTCGTTAACAAAAAAATAAATATAGGTTATAAAAGGAAGTTCATATAGAACATTTTTTTCTTATAGTCATGGAACGTAAATGAAAAATTATAGACTCTCTACTTACTTATTAGGATTCAGACCATAATGGTTGTTGGCTATTCCTTTGACACTGAAAGTTTTAGCCACGGTCTCGGAAGGTAGTTCAAATGTCGGCAATGTAGTTGTTAAGGGTTCCACATTGTGAAAAATCGCAAATGGCCTTACAATATTCGTCAACTGAAATAAACATAATTATTAAAATATTTTTAAAATTCCTATAAATCGAATAAAAAAAATGTAAATTCGGAAGATTCTGGTAGGCACCCCTCTGTATTTGGTCGTAGGACGATGTTTTATAGCTTATAGTACTGAGGAGAATTGTAATTTGTAGCTATCAGTGAAAGAATTTTGGACATCCGACCAGCGTTTCCAAAGATTACCCCCTACATAAAAACTTACAAATTACAATTTTTACCACTTTATATTATTAGTACCTATAACATCACATCATCTGCCTATAAGTGCCCACTGCTGATTTTTAATCACCACGCTTGCTCAAGGTTAATTGGCGATTTTAAACTTATAATTAGAAATTATAAGTCCAGGTTTCCTCACGCTGTTTTCCTTCACCGTATGTCAATGGTGTCTAAATATTCATAGAAAGTACATATAACTCGGAAAAAGTCACATTGGTAGTTGCCAGGTATCAAGCCCTCGTGCATGAGAAGCGGACGCTTTAAACCCAGGGCTACCAACAACAGTAGCCAACAGCCGTAGTAACAGAAGTACAATTATAATATTAGTTATCTATAGATATTATATACCTATAAAAAGTAGATGGATTCTAAGATAGTTTATTATAGTTTCATTTGACCTAGATATGTTCTGAGTAATCCTTATATTGTTATGCATAACGATTGTATGTATAACTGACAAAGGAATTAAGAAATATTGTCTGTGAGTTCCAAGCGCTGTATATGTATGATTCGTTATCATTATGATATCAATACAAGATGTCCACTGCCAAACCTAAGATTCACCCAGTGGCTTCCAGATCGTTACATTACAAGCGAATTTAACAAGAATAGTATGTTTGTAAAAATGAAAATTATTAACTACCTTATAAGGTTTTTTATCCTTTACAACTGGTTCGGATAAACTCCTGTAGATAGCATTATGTCCTGGGCTTCGGCTGACTGTTAGAACTTCTGCAGTTTGCTCTGGACTATAGCATTTCATTGCTTCAGAATTTAGCTGACTGGGAACTCTAGGCTCCAAATGGGATTTTGGTACGTCTGTTATCGAAGTCATATCAGTAGCTGTGTTTTTATTTTTCAGATTGTTTTGATTAATAAGTGGTGCATATTGTATGTTTCTATAAATATTCAGAGCCACTGGATCAGGTTCCGTAACTGGTGCTGGTGTACTTATTTGATAATTATCTTCATAAGTAAAGGTCGGCATTTCATGTCTAATAAATTTTACGGCTGAGTCTTGGTCTTCGAGCATTGGCAATATGTTATTATGGCTATTTACCACATGTATTGTTATAAACAATAGAATTATAATCTGAAAGTAACAATAGCATTTAAAAACTGAAACTAGATAACCAAAATGTTTCATTTGAAAATAAACTCACATTGAGAAACATTGTATTGTTCAATATAAAGTTGTGTCTGGAAATTGAGTTGTAAGGTTTTTCTCTTTCAACTGTTGCGTAAATCACTAAAATACCACTTGGTTCAAATAAATTAATAAATTGTGTAGTGTTAATACTTTTATTTAGTTTCTATCACTTTTCACTGTTCACAAACTTTTCACGAGAGAAAGCGTAGTGTCTCTGTTAGGTGTAAGAGTGATGTGAGCGCTGATCTGTTGATAGACTCGATTGTCTATGTAGAACGTTGTTTTCATTCACAACCAATGATATCAATGCTTGAACTATTATTACATTGCCACCCATTGTTTGCGCCATCTCAAAGATCGATGGGTATTACGTCAACCTACCACTATTTCGGTCCAGGTATCTTTAAATGGTTGTCTCTTGTAGCTTGCAATTGGCACACATAGTAAGTAGGTAAGTAGGCAAGTATGTATATTGTTGCTACTTACAGTTTTATGAGAAGCTTGTATTGACAGTAACATAACCTTTGAAACATCTCTAAATAAAATTATTTCTATTAAGGTATTATTTACACGTGCACATTGGTCACCATTTGATTCTCTTTCTGTACACATGCGTATCGCATTTTCTTCATCATATTAACACCAAGTATGTATGCAACTATATTAGATGGATTTCTTTAATAATAACACATACATAGATAATAGTTGATGTACAACGTGCGCTCGAGACATGCCAACATGGGATGCAAAGAAGCATGCTCAGTAAAACTAAGAACTCTCTCGAACTCGAATAAAACTTGACACAATGCGGAACTAAACCAAAATTGTTAAAAGATATAACAGAAAGATGCCCACGAAAAGAAAGAGAGGTAGACAGCGACGGAGATGGGAAGACGAGATCAAAAGTAGCAGGTGCAACTTGGGGAAGGAAAACACATTATTATAATAATAGATGTTAATATTCTGCTATAAGAAAAACAGTGCACCATTTAACCATCGAACTACGCGTCGCGTCGTGGACTTATTCAATATGTGGTCGACATTCCTCCCTACCGTACCACTCAATTCACCTCCGCGTTCATTTTGCGAACTGCTAAAATATGGAATACTATCTCCGCGAGAGACCTATGATTTAGGGATTTTGGTTGGTTCCACGTTGGACCCCATCATAGCTTTCCATCAGGCGTGATAGAGGTCAAACGCATTCAAATAAGTAATAAAAAAACAGAATTTTCTTTAAGATCAGTGATGTCTTTCCAAAATAATTCGTCTTGAGCAGGAGAAGAAACCGAGTGGTTTTAATAAAAGTTTGGCAATCCCTTTCGCCCAAAGAGAATATCTTTCGCCCCACCCTGGACGTATGAAGTAGCACAATGATTTTCGTCGCTCTTTAAAAAAAAAGTATTGGAAAAATCTATAGTAAGCCCTCGATTATATAAGGGTGTCGTTTTTTATTTGTTATGTATTACGGAAACAAGTGGAAGACACTTATTAACCAAAAACTAATAGCTGATATTCAAACTGTGTACTATTTGTTACCGGTTCAAAAGATATTGCTCTTTTGTGAGGGGAAAATCATCAAATGACTTCATCCGCCCAGGGTGGGGCAGGAGGTACTGTTAGACTCTTACTAACTTAAACCCTCCCCGTTCCTTCCCATCTAGACCGCGGCACGTTATAGGGCTTATAACTCCGGGTTGTCTCCTAAAACCTGATTGGGTAATGTGCATGCAAAATTTTAATTTTGTTATAGTATCTAATAAAAATAGAAAAAATGAATATAGAAAAAAATATTGTTTGGGAAAGTTTGTTACCATGAGTAGAATCACGTGTTTTAATATCCGTCACTAGTTACCAGTCACCCTATACATATACATATGTATGTATGTTATAATATGTACTAGATTTTATATTTGGTGTAATTAATCCTTGTTATATACTGTTTTTATGTACGTAACTTCGTATTCATTTTAACCGGCACTTTCCGTAACTTCCTGTAGTGCTGCATACCATCTTCCACGTTCATCTCTGAAATATCTAAAGGATGACTGGCAGAAAATGCTTTTACCATTAAATCCTCTGATGTGCAATATTATTGTTATTTAAATAAAGAATAAATATAAAAATATGAAAAGATTTTATTGCTAAAATAAATTCTAAATGTGAAATACACCAAAACAATGTAAATTAGTTGCATATATGAGTGTAAAATTCAATGATAGCATTGTTTTATAGTCGAAAAATTTGCTCACGTCATGACTCTCGCAGTACAATTGTATTATATTGCCATATGTCTATTATTGTTTTGAAATACCTTTGCATTGTGCAAATTGAATAAAAAAGGGTCAAATTACTAATGTTTTAGAACATTGATATGTTTCTTATAACGCCAAGTGCTGTAAAAAAGGATTTCAAATTTAATACTTTTACAAACAACATTAAAACTCTATGCACATAATACATATGATACTAAAAAGGCGTACTTATTACGGTAGGCATTATCTAGCCAGTCTGACCTTTGGATGATGCAGAGAGAAGTAATATATTAATAATAAGGATTTGCTTACATATAAGTTTAATATAATACATTTAAAATATATGAATATACACTACCTACTTACATAGTGCATATTCGGTGTGATATTTCAGCCTTCTTCAGCCAACTTTCTGCATGCAAAAACCTGGCATCTGAGACCACAGAAGAATAGCTTAGATAAAAACTTTCTGACGAATTACCTCCGCTGGGGCCTTACTTAACCTCACTCACTCGGCGAAACACAACGCTTTAGTTGTTACACGCAGAGTTTCTGCGAAACCATACTAGTATCAAGCCGAACTATTCGTGAAAATCGGAAGATTTAAAGATTTTTTTTAACCACATAAGTATTACATCTACGTAATATGTTGATGATAGACGATGGACTTAATTAATTAAGATTATTTGTATATTTTATAGATTTATTTATTTTACAGATTTATTTTATAGATTTTCTATGTAATATGTTGATTATTTCATGAGGTAGTCTACAGTCACAATTACATTTCAAGGGTGGAAGTCTGGCGTCTCAACTAAGTAACCTAATACCGGGAAAGAATTACGTACAGCAAGAATAACATTGGAGAGAATGGTTTTAGGGAAAACAAATACTTTTGACGTGGTTGGCGCATGTAATGGATGCAAGGGACTAAATAACTCGACGCAAAAGGTGAATAAAGAAAACTCATTTCTTTTTAGAGGTTAGATATTATCAAACTTTCGTAATATTTTATTGATTGTTTAATTTAACAAATATAATATTTATTATGCTTCAATTATTCAACACTAAATAACATATATTCAATTGTTTCGAAAACAAATTAACTTACCTACATGAACGAATACGTTACCATAATATATTAGAAGATAAGTTGTTGACATGGCTATACCGGCGTGGGTCGAAAGCTCGAGGTAAAAACTGGTGACGTAAGAAATAAGCGGACAGCGGATTAATAATTGTATTAAAAAATATAATAATACATAAATATGTACATTTGATATAATTAAAATTCTGTAATATTGTTGTTCCTATTATAAACATAAAATTAAATTGTAAATTCAGATACCCTGCTCAAAATGGACTTGTGTTACGTCGTTGTGTGAGTGAGGGAATCGGAGGAATAAACCTTGAAAATAATAAAAATAAATGGTTAGGCTAGGTAATTTATTAAATTAAAACCGACAGTACTGTATAAGATAATAATATTATAGACGTGGTTTTGTGGTGTGCTAGGCCCGGTCGCGCGGGTTCCTGATTCACCTTGCGCCTCCTGCACCCTGCTTTTACCCAGAGCAGGCAATAAGGACAGGGCCACGTCCTTTTTCTAGTGTGTGTGTGTGTGAACAATAAATTAATAATTACAATATAATTCCAACGACGTGACACTTTAAGCATGACAGATCTATCATCATGGAACAAAATTGTAGTTTTTTAAAAACGCTATACGTTACATCTTGGACCATAAAAGTCCATTCTGGTAAATGTATTGTATCATAATTTAATATGAGTACCGTAATCAGAGACGCGAACTCAATTATGTTGCGGCCTTGACTTTATAAGTGGGTCATAAAAACCTTTCATTATTTTTATTATTTACTACTGATAAATCGTCCATTTAGAAGCCTAAAAGATAAAGACCTTTACTTCTATTTGTATTTACATTATATATTTTTTATTACATTTGGTGTGGCCTTGAAGTTTAGATGCGCAATGAATTGAATTATACTGTTAAACGTCTTAGCGGCGGCTACTACGACATAGAGGTAAAATTTGTAATTTTGTATGTAGTGGATAATCTTTGGAACCGCTGGTCGGATTGCCAAAATTGTTTCACTGATAGATAGCTACAATGATCCTAAGTGCTTTGGATAGACTATAAAACATCACGCTTCTATCAAATGGAGCCGAGCAGCGGGTGAAACCGCGCGAGTGTAGCTAGTATATTTCATATTGACAAAAAACCACTTTTCATGCATAGGAATGCGGATTCGAAACCTAGTTTTTTTTTTTTTTTAAGTCAAAAATCATTTATTTCAATTAGACCACAGTAGGCACTTTTGAACGTCAAGCAAGCAAAAAAGGAAAAAAGTATATAACATGAGCTTTAAAATTAAGCATGTCAGTCTGTCCGTCTGTCCTCTAGTGAAGCTATTTGCTCGTTCCAAAGTGTAGATTCCTATGGAGAAGAACGAGCAAGAAACTCCATGGTTACTCTTTTTCAATCAGTTTTACAATACATTTCTTTGTTACATCATTTAGTTGGTTCTGATATGTGAGAACAATGTAACACTAATGTTCAGGCAAAAGGTACGAAAAAGAAGTGAACCTCAAGGACAACATATTTAGACAGCCTGGAGATGACCAGTCCCAATAGGCGGCGCCCGTTCACGAACATGACACGTACACCAGCACCGCCCAACTCAACCATATTATAGGGAATTGGGCGATCCAGTGGCCGTGCCACCGCCAATGAGACCTCTAAGTGAGCATGACAGCTCCCAGCCGACACAAGTACCTATATTCTACAAGTCTTACTTAATTATAATAGGTTACAGGGTACTCACATTTACAAAAACTTAGAAGTTCATCAACAATTAACAACATAGTGTACAATTTAATAATTAAAATCAAAAATTCCTCTAAACATCCTGTGGAGTAGGACCAGCTAGCCTCCAAGCATTTTTATCTTGTATATAATCATTTAGTTTGTAGTATGCTAGTTTACATAAATGTTTCTTTATACATAATTTAAATTTGCTTTCATTTAGATTTTGAATTTCAACTGGGATTTTATTATAACATTTAACACAGAAACCCAGAAATGACTTATGCACTTTTGCCAATCTAAATAAAGGCTGACTCAATCTATTCCTATGTCTAGTATGATAATCATGTTTGTCAGATACCTTTACAAATAAGTGTAGGTTTTTCCTAACATACATAATGTTTTCATAAATAAATTGACTCGGTACGGTCAGAATGTTGATCTCCTTAAACTTTTCTCTGAGAGATTCGCGACGACCTAAGTTATATATAGCTCTGACGGCACGCTTTTGCAAGATAAAAATAGACTCAACGTCGGATGCCTGTCCCCACAACAGAATTCCATACGACATGATGCTGTGAAAGTAGCTAAAGTACACTAGTCTTGCCGTGCCTACATCGGTTAGCTGTCGGATCTTCCAGACAGCATAAGCTGCAGAGCTCAATCGTCCTGCTAGAGACCTGATGTGGGGCCCCCATTGCAACTTCTCATCTACAGTGATCCCCAGGAAAGTAGTCTCTTTTACAAATTCTAGTTTCTGATCATTTAGTAATATATCATCACATACGTTTCTTTTAACATTTGGTAAAATAAATCTAATGCATTTAGTCTTTTTATCATTTAGTAGTAAGTTGTTTATTGTAAACCAATTTTGAACCTTCATTAAGGCATTGTTAACTTCGTCATATTTGTTTGTTCGTCTATTTATTTTAAAAATCAATGAAGTGTCATCAGCGAACAATACCATATGCGGTTCATTTTGGAACAAATGGGGCAGGTCATTCACATAAACTAAAAATAGAAAAGGACCTAATATTGAGCCCTGCGGTACGCCCATAGATACGCTAGCACCCAGTGAGTTAACTTTGTTGACTTGTACTTTAATTTTTCTTTCTTGAAGGTATGATTTCAATAAATCTAGGGATACCCCCCGAATGCCGTAGTGTTCTAGCTTCAGTAACAGCGTCTCGTGCTCAACACAGTCGAATGCCTTTGAAAGGTCGCAAAATATTCCGATGGCATCCTGTGCTTTTTCCCACGAGTTGAAAACTTGTTTTATAAGTGATACTCCTGCGTCCGTAGTGCAACGTCCTTTGGTGAACCCGTATTGATGGTCATGGAAAATAGAATTCATGTTAAAGTGACGCAGCATTTGAGTAAGCATCAACCTTTCGAACACTTTACTGAGCACTGGCAAAATAGAGACCGGCCTATAGTTATTAGGTTCTGTACTATCGCCTGATTTAAATAATGGAACTACTTTACTATGTTTCATTAAATCCGGGAAAACCCCTTGATCTACACTTTTATTAAAAATGAAAGTTAAGTGCGGCGCAATAGTCTCTATAAACGACCTGCACACTCGAACAGACATTCCCCAAAGATCTTCAGTTGACTTTACTTTGATCTCATTGAACGCCTTTATTACTGCCTGGGGGGTTGTGTATTGAAAGCTAAAGTCAGAAGGACATTCTTTGACGTTACCCCTGAGAAGCTCGACAGAAAGAGCTGGAGATGATTTTAACGTTTCCGTAGTTTTAAGAGGAATATTTTTAAAGAATCTTTCGAATTCCTGGGCAACTGACGAATTTGAACTAGTATATCCCTTTTCGGTTTTTAAATTAAATTCATTGTTTTGTGATTTATTTCTACCTGTTTCTTTATTAATTATATTCCAGGTAGCTTTTATTTTGTTTTCCGCGGTCCTGATTTTACTACTAATGTGGAGCGACTTAGCATGCTTACATACTATTTTAAATATAGTTACTACCAATGTGGATTTTCCGAGTTATATGTACTTTCAATGATAATTAAGACACCACTGACATATGGTGAAGGATGAATGCCCCAGAAAACCTGCATTTATAAGTTTGAAATCGTCAATCCGTCTTGAGCAAGTGTAGTGGTCAATGCTTAAAGCATTTTCGTGTAAGTTGAGGCTTTTACTCAGCAGTGGGCACTTATAGGCTGATGATGTGTTGTGGGTTGTTTGCAATAATGCCAACGTTATTTTTTGTTATATTGATATGGCAAATCACCTAATAACATACTACTCTGTCAAGAAAGTACCGGGAAAAAGTCAATAATACACAAAATGTTTGTTATTCATCTAAATTTATTTTATCACCTTCAAAGTATGTTCCTTCAGAAACGATACACTTACGCCAACGAATAATCCAATAATCGAAACTTTTTTTAAACTCTGTTTCCGGAATTGAGTTCAGTGCTCGCCGCGAATTCTCCTTTATGTCTTCTAACGATTGAAAACGGGTGCCACGAAGGGATAATTTGAGTGTGGGAAAAAGAAAGAAGTCGGCTGGAGCCATATCTGGTGAATATGGTGGCTGCTCGATGGTGTTTGTTGAGTGTTTGGACAAAAAATCGTTTACAATGATGGCCTTGTGCGAAGGCGCGTTATCGTGATGCAAAATTGAACAACAACAAAAAAATTTAAAATTCGAATTTGGAACCATAAAAAAAACATTCATTCCCGATACTTTGTTGACTGAATGTACATTATGCCATAGGTCAGTAAACTAGATCAATAAACATCTACTTAAATACCTATATATAATTTGTGAATGAATGGGTGAATCATCTTTATTGCATAATGTGAAGTTCGTAGACCGCATCTTGAGGTCACGATGAGATCCATGACATTAAACCGTGTATAAACATAATTCACGAACGATATATGCAGAACACGATCATATATTTTTGTTCATATTATTTGCTAAACATTAGTAACGCCTAAGTTTGTCAGTATGGATAGATGGAGGGAGGTTTCCTATAACTGTTTCATGTAAAATTGAATGGATTTGAATGCAAAAATTAGCAATTATAATTAAAACTCGATTACAGGCTAGAATTACATGTATTTAGGCTACATTTACGGTAACGCGGGAGGAAACGCTGACAGAAGGAAGTATTAAAATATTCCAATTAGATTATATGACAAAAGGAACCTAGACACCCTGCTGTTATTTATTTTAAATTAAATCCTCGTAGCGAGTTTGTCACAAGGATAAATAGGGTCATGGATCAGCGGCTGATTCGGTCACCCAGCATCGCCCATAGACTCCTGCGTAATTAGAGCAAATTACTATTGCGTTATTTTATTTTATTTTAATAGTGTGGGAGAGCCATCTTCGGCACGAATGGGTTGGCTCGACCGGAGTGATACCATGGCCTCACAGAAAACCGTCGTGAAACAACCACGGCGTTGTGTTTCGCCATGTGAGTGGGGTTACCGGAGGCCCAATGCTTCCCCTCCCCCGATTCCTCCCCAATCCCTAAATCTTCAAAACCCTAATTCCTAAAAGGTCGGCAACGCACTCGAAACATAGGCACCTATAGGCGGCGCTGATTGTTTACCATCAGGTAATCCGCCTGATCGTTTGCCGTCCTATTACATAAAAAAGAACGAATTGTCAAAGCCTTGAATGAATCGCCTTGGGGAGTTTAGAATCTCCTTTTATTTGTCAACTCACTCACTCCCTTTAAAACCACTTAGATGAGTTTTATAATAATCCGTATGGCAAACCATTTTACATTTACATTACCTATTAAATCAGATAAAATCATTTGAATAAAATTGCCGAAGCCGCTCCGTGACCCGTCGACCTTGTTTCGTCCAAAATGCAAACGCTAGGTATATAAACCAATCCTAACGTATGCAATGTATCAGTTGAATCAAAAAATCATTACAACATGTTCTCCAAAGTGAGTTCTAAATTAATATAATAAATATGAGTATAATAAAAGGGTTATATTCTGACTTCTTAAGTGCTAATAAAATGCATTCTTTTGTATAGATCGTTGCCCTGAGCGCTGTGTTGGCGGTGTCCGCAGCTGGTCTGCTGCCCACGGCACACTACTCCCCAGCTGGAGCCGTCTCCTCCCAGAGCATCGTACGCCACGATGAGGCTCACCCCGCCGCCCACGTTGCCCACGTCGCTGCCCCCGTCCACTACGCCGCCTCTCCCGTCCACTACGCCGCCGCTCCCGTCCACTACGCCGCCGCTCCCGTCCACTACGCCGCTCCCGTCGCCAAAGTGATCGCTCCCGCTCAGAAGGTTCTGGTCTCCGCCCACGCCGAAGAATACGTAAGTAGAATGCTTAGTTGTTGTTATGTTTAGATTTATTATGACTGATTAGTCTAATTGATGATATATTTGCTTCAGGCTCACCCCAAATACGACTTCTCGTACTCCGTGGCTGACGGACACACCGGCGACAACAAGTCCCAGCAGGAGTCCCGCGACGGTGACGCTGTGCACGGCGAGTACTCGCTGGTGGAGGCTGACGGCTCCGTGCGCCGCGTGCAGTACACCGCCGACGACCACAACGGCTTCAACGCGGTGGTCTCCAACTCCGCTCCCGCTCACCACGCGCCCGCCCCAGTCGCGCACGCCGTGCACGCCGCCCCCGTGTACCTCGCTCACCACCACTAAGTGTGCATCTAGTCATAACGAAGAGATGATTGAGAATTATTTATATTATTTAATAAGAAAATAAAACAAGCAAATTGTAAAAAAATACTTCTTTTTTCTTTTTTTAAACCTAATAAAGAATAATCATTCTTGAATGGTTCATAAAATATTTTGAATCAAGTTTTAGTATGCGATAATTTGATTTTCTACCTATCATTGATTTTTGCAATATTGTTACGTGCCTGACGTCACGTTCCTGACTATGCGGGCTTGGGTTACGGGATTGGATGAAATGAAACACTGATACGGGTTTTCAGACTTTCTATTGCACTTAAGTTACATCGTCCACGGAGTTAAGTTATCGGCGTTCCTCTCCAGCAGAGTCCGGCCGACTGACACAACTTTGCCGTTCACGCTGACTTAACTCACTTAACTGACTGCACTTCACTATTTCACTGCACTTCACTATTTCACTCACTTTTCTTCTTTTTCACTTCTTCCTTTTCTTCCGAATCGCTTTAGACTTAGAACTCAACTGTCAGCCGTGAGCCGCAGTTCCGCTTATATACCCCCGGTCAGGTTCTGGAACATTCAATTTCGTTATTCTTTTTGATCGTCATGCCTCCAGAACCTTCCAATAATTTCGTTATTCATTTTTATTTATTCTCCTTCTCGCTCTTTAATTTTTCATTTCTTTCACACGAATAATTCCAGAAAGTTCGACAAAACTTCCATCAACTAAAAAACTTCATGCTTACGGCGGGACTCGAACTCGGGGTCTCTGTGGTGTAATCCACACGCCTTACCGATTACACCAACTCGTGTTGACAATTCACGACGAAATTTACAATCTCTAGGCAACGTTTGACAACCATCCATTGACGTCATGATGTCAAAGAGTTTGAACCACTTTTCCGTCACAATATTTTAACTACAAAAAAAAATAACAGACGGGGACAATGAATGTTAGTCAAACGCAATAAACATCCCCGTGATTCCTCTCTGGGTTTTTAATAAAATATTCTAGGGAATTCTAAGGACGAGTATTTTTTTAAAAAGACAAAAATAAGTCCTAACGGTTTTATTTAAATCTTAACAAAAGTGTAACAAAGAAAACGAAAACACCGAGAGCTCCGATCGCGATGACGGCTGACAGGCAAGTGAACCCGAGCGGCGGTGCGAGCTGGCTTATAAAGCAACATTCAGCTGGTAGTTCCTTGATCTCCTACACGGCCTCTCCTGACAGGAGACCGTCCTCGGGCTCCTTCTTCTTCATGCTGGATTAGTCCAGTAGGGGCATGGATAGCCCCAGCCCAGACTCTGCGGCAGGCTCCTGCTCTTGGTACACCTCAGCGGCAGGTGTGGCTGAAGCACTTGTATGCCTCTGAATCCCGGACGTAGATGGTTGTTGCCCATCGTCGACAGGCAGCCTCGCAGCTAGAGCAGGTGGCGGTAATCCACGACCAAGCTCGACTGCTTCGTCAGGCTGAGTGGCACCAGGATCTTCATCTTCTGTGTCTGCACCTATGCACGAAAACAACTATTAGCTTACGTACACACATTAACAGCAATTTAAAGTGCGAAACTTAACATCTCATAAATATGACGCGTCCATCATATAAACAAGATGCGAAGCGTCACAAGCATAGATTAAGCCATAGGCGCTACGTTAGCATAACTTAATCAGGGCGTAAGGCATAGGCACGACGTTAGCATAACTTAGCCCGGCGAGACAGAGGCCCGACGTTTGCATGTTCGCCCCACAATTGTTAGGAAAGGAAGCGCGGCGTTAGCTTTCTCCCAACAATTGTATACACAGAAAGGAAGCACTACGTTAGCTATTTCTGACGACATACCCAAGGACAGTTTGCAACCTGCCTTGGGGTAGCAAAGCAACTCACCATCGAAGTAAGCAGCACATACTTCAGGTGTCCACTCTCCACGCCACGGGATCATAAACTCCGCTGCCGCTTGCGTCGACTTCCCATAGGGGCCGGCCAGGAGTTGCAGCTCATAGCGCCCATGCGGGAGAATCTTCATCACGCGGTACGGGCCTCGCATACCGGAGTCCAGCTTCCCCGTTGATTGCGCCTGCTTTTTAACAAAAACTAAGGAATTAATTTCGAAACCACGGGGCGCCTGTCTGCCTTGGTTTACATAATCATCCTGGCTTTGCTGGTTTTGCTTGAGCCGTTCCGATGCTCTTTGACGGCCCATTTCACGTAAAGCCTCCCGGTTTGGACTGGAGCCTTCTAGCGCCACGTCGCGCACCAAACTTCGGATGAGAGGCGTCGCCGCTTCTATGCCAACAAGCAGGTTCAGGGCAGAGTACTGCGTTGTTCTGTGCCGCGTGATGTTCAATACGAGTTGAATCTTCCAGATAACGCTAGGCCATTTCTGCTGCCGATGATTTGCTTCAATGCGAATCATATTTAACACCGTCCTGCAGTAACGTTCAGTCTGGCCGTTGGATTGGTGCATCTCGGGTGTAATTAAATGAACTTCACAACCCATATCCCTAACCCAGTCAAGAAATTCGGTACTTTGGAACATACGACCTCTGTCGGCGACAATCATCTTAGGGGCTCCGAAGAGCGAAAAAACATTGGTAACATTGCGCTTCAATTCATTGGAATCTTGCCGATACATCGGATAAAGTAAAGCGAACTTAGAGAAGGCGTCAATGACTATGAGAACGTATCGATAGCCATCCGCCTCGGGGAGTAGTCCTAGAGCATCCATATGGACAGTTTCAAAGGGCACTTCTGGTTTTTCCCAGGAATGAATAGGTTGTAACGGGGCTCGAGGAACTTTTTTATGAGAGATGCACACTAAACAGTGTGCTACATATTTTTGGACAAAACTTCTCAAACCAGGGAACCAAAAATGTTTCGTAATTAAATCAAACGTCTTTTCTGCCCCAGGATGTTCGTGCTCATCGTGAAACACGCGAAGTAGACTAAGCCTGTGCCCCTTTGGAATATAACACAAGAGTCGAGTGGATTCACCAGTAGGTGCATACCTAATGTAGAGGGTGTCGTTTTTAACGATGTATCGACTTGCGTCTATCTGACCATCATTCAGTCGTTGAATAAGGGTTCGAGTCTCCTCATCAGAAGCCTGAGCAACCTGCGCCCAGTTTAGTGGCTTCTGAACCGTGCACACATTGACCGGATTCCGACTAAGGTAGTCAGCATGTGACATAAGTGAGCCCTTTCGATAGTCCAAGTTAAAATCAAAGTCCTGCAGGTATACCCACCACCGAGCCACTCTAGGAAGCAAACCCTTTTTGCGCTGCGTAAGTTTCAACGCATTGCAGTCAGTGACTACAGTGAAGCGTACACCCACAAGAATCAACATTAAAGATGTGCGCTCAGAAGTGTTTTTATTTATCTCTGAAAGAGCACCAATATCTTCTTGAACTATCCTTTCCTGTTCCTGTACAGCTCATCTTGTGGCTCACTAGTAGACTGTATCTTTAGACGTGTGCAGTCAAATGCCCCGATCACATTTGGAAAAGAGCTAATACTTTTTAGGTGAATACAATGAAATAACCATATTATTAACATGTTCAATTCATCTTATAAAATATAATATAACACTTGAAATATAAAAACAAGTATAATTATCTTACTTATACATATTGAGTTAGTATAGTAACTTACTTATATTTAAATTAAATACTAATAATGTATATTTCTTAACCAAATAATTTAAGTATTTTATTTTGAAATATGTGCTATTTTATAGTGAACCGATATTCTATAACTTTTTTTCTTTACATACTCCATCTTCATTTCATTATATTTCTTATTATTTTGTTTCCGAGTGCCTGCCTCTCGTGTTGAAATTGTTTCCTTGATGTGCAAATTAAGTTACCTGTAAATAAACTTCATTAAAGTTGCAATAAGTAATTATCCCCAATACATTATTAGGGACTTAGTTAAGAAATCGGGACTGACTACCTAGTACGGGCACTATAAAAGTATATGGGCACTATACTAGCTTATTAAGATGAAAAACTTACATTTTTATTGGCTACATTCTGTCTCGTAGTTCTTTTTAATCCCAATAGGCTGTGATTAGCTGTTTTTGGTTTCGAGGCACTTCTGCATTCCTGTTGAATTCATTCGCTATGGTTTCCCGAGCTTCATTTTTATTAATAGTAGAAATAGCATTTGTGCACTGATTATCAATTATGTGCTTGTATCTGTAATAAAACATGGTGCGTATTATACATCAGTCTTGGCTGCAGCGCAGGATGTGAATTATAAACAAAGATATTTTATACTTTTAAACAACAATTATAGGTTTATAAAACGCAATAGGGAAAAAATATATGATTATACTTACTTCTGAACTGGTTCTAAAAGAACATGCCTTTCCCTTTCGATGAAATTCTTCCCTCGTTATGCCATTTTAAGCAAGTTTAATTAGCATTTTATTGTAATTGTAACTTAATAATATAATAATATTTGAATTTCACAGAATTGTTTGACATCAATGACAGTCCGTAACTTTTTAAATATTAACATATTTGACTGATAAGAATGAACTATTGAACAAAAAAGAGCAGTGTGACTATGACTAAAAATAAAACGCATGTCAAATCAAAATAATCATAGATTAGTTAATTATGGTCTGATCAGCGTTTCAGAAACTCAAATTGATTTGACAGTCATGTCAATTTAATCGCAGTGTTAGTTGATCAATGAATTGACAAGCCTTTCAGAAACTGGGTGTGAATCGATCACAAAAAAAAAAAATAGTACAGGCCCTCTCCAATAAACAAAATTCAAATATCTCACACTCGAGATGTATACTAGGACATGAACTACTACTAAGGCACGAGTATTCCTTAACAAATTTATGCGAGGGGTAAACAAATCAAAAGTTTGCTTAACAATAATTTATTATAATCCTGGTTTTAATAATTATGTTTTTTTGATGTACTTGTATATCCAACTTTATCCTGGCTGTGAGGCCATAATATGCCGCTTATATCCGTGTCATCATTATCAAAACCCATATTGTAGAGCAGCTCGCTTTGTGCTGTGTAATTTATTTTGACGTTTTGACGTCCCACTTTGTTT